TAGTTTACTTAGCTTTAAGCGAATTTTAAATTAAATTTGTCAAAGTTAATTAACGGCATATTTAATGCGACGAGCTTCTCACATTTTCACCACCGAAAGACATTCTGTATTCGTAACAGTTATTATAATTAATGAGAGAAAATATGATGGTTCTGAGACATCCTGCATATTACAAATAGATAATATTATACATCTACGAATAGGGGCGTTTCATGATGCGTACGTTATCTGCAGTAACATTGCGGTAACATGATTATAACACATTGTAAAATACAGCACGTTGGATGGTGTTGAACCGGACAAATGCGTGTAACAGATCCGCCTGTATGGAGCTGAGTGCATTTGAATTTGAATACCACGGAACTAGTTTACGCTTAACGTATCACACAGCGATACTAAGAACACCAAGTGATAAAACTCGCAAAAAAGAAGGAAAGAGAGGAAACCTACGAGATTGGAAATGTGAATAAAATCGCGTCGATGATTTAATTCATAATTACGATTGTATATCCATTGAACTTTCCTCTGAATCTCACGTTCTAATTATACCTAATTTAACTAAGGCGCTAGTTTAAACCAATTCCAAGTTCAAATACGGAACTCGACTCCTATGTTATTGTATGAGCATGCGTCACATAAATTTTTAACGGAATTGCACACATATATATAACAAATACATATATAAATGTACTTTTCTCACATGATTACAACTCCACCAAGAATCTTGCGAGCATTATACATCCTTAGCGAGTCCTCGCATTATGAATTCGGTTGAGTGTATGCGAAATTGTGTCAGTTTCACAAAAATGAATCAAATCGTCGTAAAGTTTTCACTTTGGAGAAGGAGTTTCCAGCTTGCGACGAGAAATCACCACGAAGATCAACAAAGTGAAACACTTATCTCGTGTACTCCACTATACGGTGTCGCGACGAGGATTAAGAAAACAGATCGAAATATTGCGAGATCTCGGGACGCGCGTGCGAACGAGCGAACTTCCTCCTTACCGATCTAACGGGTGAATCACGGCCCCGTTAATCGACCCTGCCGGCTCACCCCGAAATTACGGAAAAGAGCCCCGCGTCTCTCTCTTTTTCCCTCGCCCTCTCGCTCGCTTTCTCTCTCTCTCTCTCTCTCTCTCTCTCTCTCTCTCTCTCTCTCTCTATCTCTCTCAATACGCGTGTGTGTTTCACCCCTATCCCCAGTGCGGTCTCTCGACGTTACACCGCGCGCACCACCGGTGCACGACGCGCGATACTCGACTCGCGCGTTGTAATGGTCGATCGCGGCTTCGACCCTCTTCCGAGCCATCGAACGGCCCGAACGCGGTCGGATTTTTCGACGTTTACTGCCTTTAGGCCCCTGGACCATGCGTCCGCACGCCCTCCCGCCTTCCACCAACCCCTCTCATCCCCATACTCCCCCGGATACTCAAATTGACCCGTCGTGCTCGATCCACCCCCGTCTGCCCCTCTTCTGCCATCCGCAGCGAGCAGAGCCCTCCCTTCCACCCTCTTTGCCACCGCCGCCGCCGCCGCCGCCGCCGCCGCCGCCGCCGCCGCCGCCACGGCAGTTGCCACAGCTTCCAACCTTTTTACCCCTGTACCAACCCTGCTTTTTCCCCCGTTCCGCCCAGCCGCCCTCCTTGCCTACGCTACCACCCCCTATCCCCCTTTTTATCCCGTTCTCCCTTGCGCGCACCACTCATTATAGTTTCTCCCTCCCTCACCGCCGCACTCCCACCCCCTTCATCCATCTGTCCCTCTTCACCCCTCTACCCCATGCGGCCACCACCTCCTCATCCTTCTCCATCTCCTCCTCTTCCTCCTCACCCGCCTCAGCCACCACTATCCGCTCGCTCGCTGCTGCTCTCCCTTCCACCCTTACACGTCGCCCACCCTCCACCCGGTTCAACGCTCTACCGCAACCCTGGGAAAACCCTGGAAAATCCAGCGGCGTGCACCTAACTTCACCGTGGCGTATATGTGTGTGTGTGTGTGTGTGTGTATATATATATATGTATGCATACATACATGCTGCACGTGCGTGTACCGGTGACACACGCAAGCAGGGGTTGCGTGTAGCTACCGGGTGTCCCGGAATCATGACCGCTTTCTTTCCTCGAAGGATTTATGAAGTGATGGAGCAAAGAGATTTTTTTTTTTCAACGGATACGCAATACATATATCACCTGCATTATTTTTCAGTTAAAATTAAGAAAATCCAGTGAAATGAGAAGAATTTTCGTATTCTAAGGTAGGTAGGACATTCGAAGAAAAGTGATAAAAATTTTCAAAGGTTCGAAGGAAACTCCGTTCCGACTTAATAATAGAGTTTGTAGAAGAAAGGAATTTTTGGAACACCCTATACGCGATGTTGCGTACGAGCGCGTATATACAGGCGCCGCGGGAGGCATGCGTACGTAATGGGCATCGGCCAGGCCGTTAGCGCGAAAATTGTTTATTTAAAGCCCGAGCGGATGCACGCGCGCACGGGGATGGTCGCGCGCGCGTGCGCCGCGCGTGCAAGCATTGATATTGCATACGTAAGAACGGTGAATGTGAACGCACGTGAATGCACCGTGTGCGTCGATTCATTCGCGATATTATCGAGATCTCTAAAGAGGAAATCATCGAGGAAATTTGCAAGAAACGCCAGGGAAATCGAAACAATGGAGAAAATAAAGAAAAAGATGGAAGAGAATCGCGAGTAACTTGTAGAATTTCTCGCTACAGTGGACGAAGATGGGTAAAGAATCGACAGATGATATCTAATTACAGTTTAAACAAGTATTAACGTCTGTTATTAACGTGAAAGGATAATGAAGTTAATGCGTATGTTCGCAGCAGACGAGTCTCTGATCATTCGGATTATAAAGATTACAGTCATAACTATAATGTGCGATGACTATACCTAACGTGTTCTTCCTATTATTTTCGTTCGTACAAATAAAGTAAGAATTAACGATCGTAGTTACTACGCTCGTGATTAACAATGTGCGTTAATAGTACCGCACCTGCGTTTACTTATGTACGCGTTTCCCCGATATATCTTATATTGTCATTACGTTGGTACGGGCAAATATTTGATCGCGATACACTCGGACGAAAGCAAACGCCTCCAGCTATTATGGCAGTGTAATAATCGGGCGCGTAAACCTGCAGGTAGCTGGTGCGTTTATATTATATATTACGCTACATTACATTAAGCATGTTGTATGCGTACAACGCGCCCACCGCTGATAAGCACGCGGACTCGTGCAGGTTCACGTAAATCGCGGGGGCCCCGCCAGCGATACGTCGTGCATGGGGGCGCATTAATACGCACACGTGCTTGCCGTGCGTGCGCTTTGGCAGTTGCATCGAAGATAGCCGGAGCCATTCGTCGTCGTCGTCGTCGTCGTCGTCGTCGTCGATCAAGCTGCGCGCGAATTCAAGAAAAGCAGCATTCTATCTTCGATCAGGCACTAACGAATTCTGTAATAATTACTACACTGTTGGATATTAATTTCGTTACTCTTTTAAAATCATTTCTACGTTACTTTTAAAGTAAACAACGTCAATATTAATTAACGTATGTACTTGGTAAATAATAGATTAAATTTGAGTCGAAAATTTAATTTTTTGAGTTCAATTGTTCAACTCCATTGTTTTAGTTTAAATTAATGACATATTGAACAGTGGCGACCTATAGAAATAATAAATCAAATTGTGTGAGTAGAACGTTATAAATTTAACACAGGGTAGTCTTTCCCATCAGATCGTAATATGCATATAGATGTAATTCCTTTGCTATTCCTATCGACATTTGTATATCTATTTTCAACTTTTTTTTACGTTCTGTAAATATGTTTCTTTTGCCGATTAGTATTCTTCTACTTTTAATAGAAAAATTGGCATGTCACGCGGGGATCGCGACACAAAGGACCCAATTATTTCGGCATACTTCTCTCGGGAGTGAGTTTTTTTTGTTTTTCGTAGGAAATTGATGAAGATTTTTATGTCCGCGTTGTGCTGTATATAAATCACATTAAAATGTATTAATCGACGTTGCAAGCAAGGCAAAAATAAACACATAGCGTATGTACATGGGGCGTATGTGCCGTATTAAAACTGTAGGTTTTACATCCGCGCTGTGGGTGATTTATGCGCGTTGCAACGGCTCTCTCTCGTTGTGTGCTCATCGATGCAGGCTTCGCGATTTCAGATCCCGGATTCTCCGGTGCAGAAAAAAGAGCGCGAGATGAGGGCTCGGGTCGCCGCCGCTAGGCTCTCCACGGGCTTTTTCCCGGATCCGCACCATGTTCGTTTCAGTTCATTTACGAATTCTGGTTTATACTAAAAAAAAAAGTTAGCTCTATCAACTTAGCATTTATGTTTCCTTTATACGCGGATAAATTGTCCGATTTTTTTTTTCAAAACGATGGCCCTGAACGAACGATAATCGCTCTCGGCATTCGCTCACCTCCTGTCTCCCATTTTTCTCACCGACTCTGATTTTCTCGTTGACTTGATAATTACTCTCCTCGAAGCGCGTCTAAGACGAGACGCAAAGCGCACTCGATTTTCCCGGGGCGGGTATAACATTATGCAATTTTATGCGGAAACTTCGAGAGACGCAAAGGCGAGAGGCTCGCTTGCAAGACTATGGTAATGGTGTGGGTTCGTTAGCGCCACGATTGTCGGACACATTGGCGCTCGTTTATACGGATGTTCGGAATTCGAATTGCGAATTCATGTCCTGGTAGAAGTACCTACTGTCAGTAGCTACAAGACTCTTCCTTTGCTTTCGCGCTTTCCATTTGTTATTATTATGACTTCACAGCTTGACGCTTTCGTCACGAAACATTTTATTATTATTTTTATAGTTATGATCGAATTGCTTCCCTTTAAGATGCGAAGTAAATTAGATTAATTTACCATAATAAAATTTTCTTTTCTTTTGCGTTATATGAAATATAATATACATATATGATAAAAATACATGATAGAGAATCACTCACAGAAGTGATTTCCGGGTCCAGCATAATGATGTCCCTTGTAAGCTGCGAACAGTCCGGGATTGATACCAATCTGTAAAGTAAAACAAATGTGCTTTGTTAGAATTTTTGACACATTATTTTACAATACTATAATAATATTAAGTCTGAACAAATCGCGAATATACAATTGCATAGCGCTAGCTGCAGAATCATTGTTTTATATTGTTATTTTAATTAGTCACAGTTGATAATACAAAAACAAACACAGATGTTGTTAAGTCTCTCGCGTCGACGTCGCTGTATTCCGCTTTGAAAACTCATCCCTTCCCGTCTATAAAAATTATTACTCATATTTATTTCCAACTTATTTCCGTGTTTCGAAACGGTGAAATTATTGTCTCTCTGTTCGTGTCTTCGACTTTTCGCCGAGTTTTTCCAGACGAGGAAAAACGCCGAGAAGAGACGCGAGTCGTTTGCGTCACGCGTTGTTCTCCACGTAATTAATTTCGCTTTCTACCGATTGTCAAAGCTATAAGTCTCTCCGAGACTTTGGAGAAAAACGTTCGCTCTACCGATGTTTGTCTCGTTTAACACGTGGGGTGTGTTTTAACAAAATGCGTAACGTAAACGGGAATGAGAATCGATTGTAAATCTGTATGCTGTTAATTAAAGCGGACTGTGGCGTGATTGATTATGTATATAAATGCAATATGATGAAAACTAATGGCAAATTATGTTGATGGTTCGAATTTAATGAAAACATACGATGAATAAAACTTTATCGAATTTGGCATGTCTTTGAAAAATAATATTTTTAACGGTTGAAAATGTGCTGTCCGATCGTAAATAAAAGAGAAAAAAAATGTATAATAAAATCAAGCATATATTATGGAAATATGGTTTGAATGTGCTACATGCATAATGTTTAATTTAGCTCCCAAAGCTTCCAAAAAAGCACGCTCGACGAGAAATTGCGTGCGCCCATATTATATGCGACGGAATTAATTCTGTCATTACGGGGGCAATACCTGTACTTCAATGGAGCGTTTTTAATCTGCAAAATACAAAATTCTCCAAGCTGCTCATCTTTCGTCTGTCTATAGCTTGCTTCAGCGTAATTCTTTTATTCACAGTCATGAAGGATATTTATTAAACACAATTAAGAATTATCAAGGTATTCGTCGATGAATATGAGAACGGGACAAATACTTGGCGTCTCAGCGCAATTCTACTGTAAGATCTCTCTCATCTATCGTCACCTACTTTCAATACTCTTTCCAATTTTACTCCATTTCCTATGAATATAACCGCGTCAGCAGATTGCATTGGAACAATGAATTCTTTTTCAAAATGAAAAATGGGATAATTGAAACCTTTGAACATATGGAACAAAGCGATGATTCTCTGAAATTAACAAATCTTTTTCAATGATTTTCCGAGCATCGAACGAATACTTAGCTCTTTTCAATGATTTTGTGATAATTTTTATATCATCATTAAAAAAGGGATATGCGCATAATGTAATAATTCCCAATTATTTAGCTTTAACATTAGCGGTTATTTTGATTCACATTCACGCTTAGTTAATTTCCTACGTTTCCTCTAGTAAAAGGGCTTTTTCGTTTCGTGCCGTTTTTCGCGTAAACGGAGAATTAATTAATTAAACTTAATCTCTCTTTCGCGCGCGCGCACGGCGATACGCCGCACTTTCGTACGTATTCCAGAGTGTCTCTAAATTGAGGAAGAGAAAGAGGAAGAGAGTAGGGATCGATTTCTTTTCCCGTACGACTTCACGTGCGCGCTTCTTACTCGCGATTATGCAACGGCGCGGCGGGAGGGAGGAGGCGGAGGAGGAGGCGCAGGTGCGGCGTTGGTACCTGTTGCACAACCGCATTATCTTCGCTCCTCGCTCCGCCGGTTAGGTAATTAATAACGACAAAGTCCAAGGATACGTGATGTGCGCGGCCGCGCGAGCACCATTAGGCGCGCATCTCGCGCGCTATTAAACCTTCCTCCTTCCTCTTCTCCTCGTCGATGTATTCCCGCGCGATCTCTCTCTCTCTCTTTCCCGACTTGCAACTGACCTTTTCGCAAGTGCAAGGTGCGCGCGAGGGGGCTGTTGTACCGCGGGGAATCTCGTGTCGTAACTTATCGACGTTTATCTCGCGCCTAGCCACGGCGACGCGACGTCCACCGCCGTCGTCGTCGTCGTCGGTAAATAGAGATTAACATTCACCACGCAACGGACCGGCCGCCGTATACTCCTCGGGATAATTGCATGACAAAGTGCACGTCCGCGCAGAACTCACGTGTGTGTGTGTGTATGCGTTCCATTAAGAATCGCGACGCGTCCGCGAGGCACGGGAAAGGATCGGCGGCTGATTAGTTTGAATTCTTCTGTTCTCGCCTCTGTTTAGCGCTGCATTTGAAGCGCTCGAGGATGTTATTATGAATCGTACGTACCTTGTGAAACATCGCGCTTGTTAAGGTAATTAAATGATGAGGATCGAAACGGACGCGATGTATATTGAAAGAATTTCTGAATTCGAACTCTAGCAAATAACCTGATGACTTTTCTTCTACGTGCTTTATCGTTAAATATCGAAAGAGCAACGGTATAACCCGCAAGTTAAATAACATTTTGTTATTTTTAACTTGCACGCGTCAAAATGTAAATCAATCCATTTCTGTGGTTAGTTTCAATGTAAACAACGTCCACATTAACGTATGCACTTAGTAAATAATAAACTAAATTTGAGTCAAATTTAATACATTTTCTTGAGTTTAATCGTTTAACTCCATTGTTCCATTAAATTAACGTCATATTAAATAGCAGCAGTGACCTACGTATAGAAATGATTGTAATTTATATAAAAAATTGGGCATTTGCTTATTTTTTCGTCGTGTTCGTATTAAGTAGAGATTTCTTTGATGCGTGGAGTGCGCAACACATGCTTCACGCGCTTCCTGAGGAATCCTCGCGTATCTCTGCGATTCGGATAATGCATTTCTCGATCGCACCTTCGATTCCGATGAGAGGGAGTAAGGATGAGAGAGAGAGAGAGAGAGAGAGAGAGACGACGCATATCGCACCGTCAAAATCGCGTTATATTAGTCGTGTACGAGCGAGTCCTCTTCGTACACCCCAAACCCTCCGTACGTGCGTGTATGTGTGTCTCTCCATCCCCGCAGCTCGCCGTCGACATAAAGTACGTATCGCATTAGCGCGTTAACGCCAATGCGTTAGCCGCTCGGCCGGCGCCGAATGGCGGCCGGGATAAACGAGGATAAAATGACGGGCGGGGGTGGCCACGAGGTGGTGGTTGGACGTGAGGAAGGGTGTGGAATTGTCACCGATTGAAAACAACGCGCGTCGCTCACGTAGGAACGGATCGCAGAGCGGAAGAGAGACGTGAGAGAAG